GATGGTCTCGATCTCTTGACCTCGTGATCCACCCGCCTCGGCCTCCCAAAGTGCTGGGATTACAGGCGTGAGCCACCGCGCCCGGCCCTAAAAAAATTTTTAAAATTTAAAAAAAGGCCAGGCGCAGTGGCTCACACCTCTAATCCCAGCACTTTGGGAGGCCAAGGCGAGCATATTGCTTGAGCCCAGGAGTTCAAGACCAGCCTGGGCAACATGGCAAAACCCCATCTCTACAAAAAATTAGGTGGGTGTAGTGGCATGTGCCTTTAGTCCCAGCTACTCTGGATGCTGAGATGGGATGGTGGCTTGAGTCCGGGAGGTGGAAGTTGCAGTGAGCTAAGATTGTGACATTGCACTCCAGCCTGGACAACATAGTGAGACCTGATGTCTACAGGAAAAAAAAAAATAGTTCTGGCCCAGTGAAATTGCGGATGAGGGAGATTCACCGGTTTGTTGAATCATCACTAGTCATTTTTTGTTTGTTTTTTGAGATGGAGTCTCATTCTGTCGCTCAGGCTGGAGTGTAGTTGTGTGATCTCAGCTCATTGCAACCTCCACCTCCTGGGTTCAAGCGATTCTCCTACCTCAGCCTCCCGAGTAGCTGGGATTACAGGAGCACGCCACCACACCTGGCTAATTTTTGTATTTTTAGTAGAGACAGCATTTTGCCATGTCATCCAGGCTGGTCTCAAACTCCTAAATTCAGTTGATCCACCTGCCTCGGCCTCCCAAAGTGCGGACATCACAGGCGTGAGCCACTGCACCCAGCCTGTCTCTAGTCTGTGAAATACTATGACTTCGGTTTTCTGAGAAGAAGTAAAATTACGAGAGATGCATAACATTCATAATTTAAATAATAGAGCTATAATACACACTCTTAGCCCCTAGGACCTCCAGATCCTCATTTGTTTTATTAAGGTGCTGATCTCAGGCCCCATCAACAGCAGGGAGGGTGTCTTGTTTATTCTCTGTACCTGACCCAGTGCTGGCCCCACTAAAGGTGCTCAGCAAATCTTTTTGGAGTGAACAAATGGCTACTTGACAGCAGACTCTTCTAGTTCTATTCTAGTTCTAATATTCTAGGAAACCAATTGCTCTTTTTTTTTTTTTTTTTTGAAACCGAGTCTCGCTCTGTGTCCCCGGCTGGAGTGCAGTGGCATGCTGGAGTGCAGTGGCACGATATCAGCTCACTACAACCTCCACCTCCCGCGTTCAAGTGATTCTTCTGAGTAGCTGGGATTATAGGCATGTGCCACCGCATCCAGCTAATTTTTGTATTTTTAGTAAAGATGGGGTTTCACCATGTTAGTCAGGCTGGTTTCGAACTCCTGACCTGGTGATCCGTTCGCCTCTGCCTCCCAAAGTCCTGGGATTACAGGCATGAACCACCATGACTGGCCCTAATTGCTCTTAATGTAATAATAATGATAGTGGGTGTACTCAGCATTGAATAGAAAAGATTTAGATGAATAGCTAAATTTGGTGAGTTTTTATTTTGAAATAATTTCAAATTTATACAAAAATTACAAGAATAGAACAAAGAACTTTTCTTGTCTTCTGTGACTTCAATATTTTTTTTAAAGACTATGTCTTCCTGGCCAGGTGTGGTGGCTCATGCCTGTAATCCCAGCATTTTAGGAGGTCAAGGTGAGTGGATCACTTGAGGTCAGGAGTTTGAGACCAGCCTGGCCAACATGGTGAAACCCCATCTTAAAAAAA